CGCCAACAGTACGATCATTTCTTATGAGGTGAAAGCCAGGTAAAGAATAATTTGTGGAAGGAAGACAAGGCTTAAGCCATGACTCAGAAACGAGAATAGCATGAATATTCTTAGAATCAAAGGTAGCCAGCATATCTGAAAAGTGAGCCGAAATGCTTTGGGCATTAATGTGAACGACGTTGAAATTATTGGGAACATCAGAAAATTGTGAAGCTAGTATTTCAGAGAGAGGCTGTAAGCTAGGGATATTGCCATCATCACTAACTGCAGTTTCATTATTACTACTAATGTCTAAGAATGACATTACAAAATAACTATTAATGTTTATATGTGAAAAATATAACGTACAATAAGTAAAATACAATTAAAAAATAAGGTAATAAATTTCCTAAAACTAAGAACAAAAAAAAAAAACGAATAAAAATAAAATAAAAAAGTATTTTAGTGTCCACCTGCCAGTTGAGTGTTTTTATAAATACAGTTTAAGTACAATATCTTACGACACTTTACTACTAAATAGAAAATAAAAAAAGAGGATTAATAATATCAAGGTTTAAGTAAAAGAAAGAAAAAAAAATTCAATAAGTGCACAAAACAAACACCGTTATGGGAAACGCAACTGACATTGCGTTTGTTAACATTACGTTGTCGTTAAAGCGCTACATAACCTTATAATTGTGATATTAGTGTTAACATCATCTGTTAGTAGTATTGAATGTTCCGGTACAACCAATCAAAAACAATTGACGGAACCTTTTTAACTCGTGATTGGTGTTAAATGTGAATAAGTTGAAAACCGACCGAATCCCGAATGATCTGAATGAATCGTTTTTAGTGTAGGGCACTGGAGCCCGAAATGAACCATTTGGATGATCGATCCGCATGTACCGTTGCGCGTGACGAAATGTACTAGAATGATTCGGTTACGAGAAATTAATGATTGACACATGTCTAGCCAATATCATCTTGCTAAACACACTCTTCTCTCATTACACAATTTCTCACCCAGTCACTCAGATTTAGCCCTAACATATTCCTTAACAATCGCATTTCTACTGCATTTATTCTACTATTGTTCTTCTTCTGCCACACAAATTTTTTACTACAATACCTTAAAAAAGGGGACTAACACAGCATTGTGAGTAGCCATACGTGCCTTTTTGACACCATTTTCCCTCCCTCTCCCGTCGTTCTATATCCTTATCATAATCTCCCATCCCTGCTAAATACACATCCCAAATATACAAACCTATTTACTTGCTCGACCTATTCCTCTTCTATTTTTATTTCACTTATCGTTTTACTTTCTTCTATTTCAAAACCCATAACTTTTGTACGTTCACTTTCATTCCCCTTTTATTAATGACCTGTTCATTAATGTAAACATCATTTGTAACTCGAACGCATACCGAGGCAAATATAACTTGATCATCGGCGTACAAAAGGCATTTGATGGTTAACTCACCCATTCTTAACTTGCATTCTTCAACTTTCAAATTTTCCAAACAACTGTCCATAAATAGTTTGAAACGCCACGAGGAAGCCACACAGCCCTGTCTGACACCTTTATGGATGCCAAATCAGTCCGAGTAGACTGCGGTAATCCTAACACAAATACTAGAGTCCCTATTAAGAGACTTCAATCTGTAAACACAGCACTCAAAGCAAATGAGTTCAGTTTTTGCCATAACACATCCCTTCCCACTCTGTCGGCTTCTTGGCATGAAAAAGACTTGATCTTTACACCCCATACCCTTTCTAAACCCCGCTGGCACATCCCAAATTTTTCCATCAGTTTCTTTCATAACTCTTTCAATTAGTACCTTAGCATACAGTTTTAGCAATGCCCGTAATGCTAAGAAACATGATACCACGGTAGGATTTACAGTCCTGCTGCGACCCTTTTCCTTTATATATTTGGACTATTACGGCTGTGCTCCAGTCCCCGGTACTTGCTTTAGTTCTCAACATAAATTGAACAAGGTGTACATCAGCTTTGCCACCACTTCCTCACCAGTCCTTAGCATTTAGAGTGATAATCTATCATATCCGGCTACCTTCCCTGCTTTCATGGTTTATTATTGCTTTCATTATCTCCCTATCTCTTTCCTCTTCTTTCGGAATTTTCCTCTCATTTAATTTACACGTCTCCACACTCATAAACCCACTTTCAAAATACTCCTTCCATCTCTTTAAACTCAAAACTTCTCTTTAAATTCAAAATACAGCCAGTATTGTCTCGTATAGCATTTACTCTAGGCTATTTTGAATGTCTACTAGCAGTTCTTACATTTCGTTCTTACATTAAGAACATTTTAATATTTGCCTGGAAGTTATCAGATATTCTTCTATCATTCTTATACGTTCTTTCTTGCTTTTTCCTTTCAACTACTTCTTTCACTTTCTTATTTAGACATCGAAAGACCTTTTTCTTTCAATATCATCATTACTAGCGCCAGAATTACCAGCCTTGGTTGCTAATAAATCTAGCCATGCTCTGTTCGTTGTTTTTTTTTGTAGAATAAGGGTGACAAATGAATATATATTCCACCTGAAGGTAAGTGTATGTTGTGGCCCACAGACAGTTTATTAACCAACCGCATTCATCTTCGATTGATAATCAAAACGCAGATGCGTTGTCACCATTGAGGACTAAGATGGAATGCTTCATTTTCATTAAAAAAGGGTCTCCGGATCTCTACACTCACCATGAAAAACACAGCATTATTAAGCTGCTATTTTACGTTGGTATTCTGTGAGAGCGTGGTCCTTCCCCGGTTGAGCCGACCCATTCGTGCTACAACCATAATATAACTGCAGCGTGGCTCTATCACGTGTAAACTTCAATACGTACCTTATTATCCCACCATAACGTATAATTTTTCCTTTAATCGTTCTCTTACTAACACCACATACTTCGGTAGCTGCATCCACCAAACCTTTTTTAACATTATGCCACACATTCTACAAGTCTAATTAACGATTTATTCCGTCTATGCAACATGCATAGCTTTTTTAAACCTTATTGTACGTTATGTTCCGATCTGACGCATAATAATTAAGTTGTCCTATGCGAAATTTTGAATAGACTTAATAGGACATAAACAATAATAAAAAGCTAGAAGGTACTTACCGGGTTTATCCACAATTTGTGACATCGGTACGTCAGTCATCTCATCCCCCGTTCCCATGGATACTGTATATCGCCCGATACGTCGGGAAAAAATAAAAGTATCGTAAAACAAAAATAAACTTTCGATAAAATCCGTAAAAGTAGTTTTAATCACGTAGTGTTCGCGTAAATATAAGAAATCATTATTCCCAATATTCTTTTATAAACAAGCCTCTTCCCCCAACCCATCTATTAAAATCTCCTAACATAAAAATATTTTCATTTCCCTTACATGTCATTAAAACCATCTTTACCATATCCTAAAACTGCTCTCGGATATAAGTGGGCTCAGATATGTCTGGGGCGTAGACCCAACAGAAAAAACAACTTCTTTAAGCCCACTTTCATTCGTATTCATAGCAATCTCGGGCTTACACATTCCGAACAATTTTTAGATAAAAAAGAAATATAAAAACAATGACATTAACGTTCAACAAATGTGATGGTATCCTAGTAATTTCGACAATTTTTTTGCCAAGGATTGAATTTCTATGTACGGAGTCTTAATGATTACAGTTTGCTTCGTCGGAACTGAGAGAACGTTGCGCTTAATAGGTCTGTACATTAAAGTACTAAAAGTTAAAGGGGAGAAATGGTAATGTTGCATTAATGAGATTAATACAAAACTTTTTAGGTGAATAAAATTACGAACGATAAAATACAAAGACTGTTTCGCTTAATTCAGATTTTTTCCTTTATTTTATATATAACGCAACATTGACGACGACGTAAAAGTCCAAAGTAAAATTTCCGCCCTTAAGTTTTATATTGCATTATAAGGGGCACGCCAAAAGAAGTAAGATACTTTTTATTCATTTACATTGTGAAGTAATACATCATTGGATTCTCAATCAGATCAATCAGATTGTATATTTAGGGCTAAATTTGAATTATAAGGACGTATAATTACAAATATTTTTATATGAAAAATGCTTTTTCGAGAAAATTCAGCAGGAATTTGTTTACAGCAATGGAGCTCAGTCGACGTTACATTCGCGCTATGATTTACTATGACTATAAAAAATATTTAAAGCCCCAAGGAATTTTGAATTTTTTGCTGCTAATTTTGGTGATTTTGCATGTATACCAATAGTTTTCACTTGGTTTGCTGTAGTCTTTTGTTAGAAAACTGAAGTGACATGGTTAATACAGTCTGTGGACACCTGCAGCTGACTTCAAACTAGACATGTGTCAATTTTGAATGATTCCTTCGTTTGAGCTGGTACACATAAAAGTATTGATGGTTCATTCATCTGTTTTTGAATGTTCCGGTACAACCAAACAAAAACAATTGACGGAACCTTTTTTATGATTGGTGTTAAATGTGAATGAGTCGAAAACCGACTGAATCCCGAATGATCTGAATGAATCGTTTTTAGTGTAGGGCACTGGAGCCCGAAATGAACCATTTGGATGATCGATCAGAATGTACCGTTGCGCGTGACGAAATGCACTAGAATGATTCGGTCACGAGAAATTAATGATTGACACATGTCTACTTCAAATGAATAAGACTACTGATACCTTGTCACCCAAACACTGCTATTTGAAATAGGTACGAGGATCGTAACCTGTCTAGAGTCCTAGGCAGAACGACACCAAGTGCGGTTACTTTTATGATTCGCTGTATTTGGTAAAGTTGGTTTCTAAATAAGAAAGCTATTTAATGTTACTACATATTTCATATCAGAAATTAACTAGTGCGCTTTCGACTAATTAATGAATCCTGCAAAGACTGAAAGCTTCTACAAAATGTTATACTTTTTAATTTCTTACCGTATTTTCTAATGCTTTCAAAAAGAGGCTTCATTAACAGTTTGTTACTCACCCCGTATTCAATGTCGTAGACGGGTAGAGGCCTATCAAGATCTGGTAGGTGTAAGTCTCGTCTATCAGTTTCCGGGCTCGCTTCCCGCCGTCCGCGGCCTTCCGATGACGATGTTGTCGCACTGCTGGTGGTTTGAGATAGTCTGGATAATCGAGAAAATAATTAATGATATAATAAATAAAAACAAGTGCTTGACTGTAATTATATTTTTATTTATATCAATTTTAATTTTATTTATAATTTAGGCAATTAATAATTTAACATATATCTAAAGCGGGCTACATACGACACGATATCGGTGGCGATCTAGGGTGGAGTAGTGGGGATGCCTCCTAGATTGCCTCTAAATCGTGTCGTATGTAGGGCCATCCTAAGTCGTGGCCGATATCGCCTCCTTAATCGGCTGGCAGGAGCAAAAATGCTTCCTAGATCAGCCGATGCTTCCTAGATCGGGGCACCGCCCCCTCCTTACTGCGTGTGTGTAGGCGCATCGGCCCGATTTCTTTTAGCAGTCGCTGCCGGCAACCCTCGCGGAAGGAAGTTAACAAAACAGTGATACTGAATGACCTTTTTTATATAACAAAATTTTTACATTTTAATCATATAAACGGAGTAGAAGCCTATGGCACTGATATTTTACAAAAAACCAAAAAAAAGTGAATAAAATAAATAAATTAATTGAAATTTTATCGAAATTCAAATCATATCCACCCTAGCCTGTGACCCTGCGAAGTGACATGGTCAAGAATGCCTACTAAACTAATATTTTTTATTGCCGTTCGTAAAGTAGAGTGTATGATGTAAGTAAGGAGAAGATAAAGCCTCTCCTCAATAACTAACTCCTATTCCAACGCTATCAACACAAGACCGCACTCATATCTCTTACAACTTCGATCTCTTACGTGCCTTCATCCTCTTATCAACAACTAACTTCTACTCCTTCACCATCTCCACATCAACAAACAAGTTATATAAAAGGGAGTATGTCCGAAATTAAAGGTTTCTTTATGTTTAAAAAAAAGATATAAGCTATTTTATTTTCTGATAGTTTTACTCCATAAATAAAGATTACATTAAAAAAAAAAGTATACATATTATTATACAAAAGTATTTTATTTCCTTGTTTGTTGTGTGTAATACATAACCAGATTTTGACCAAAGCAGAAATGAACAAAGAGAAGAAATAACTAAATAGCATAGGTAGGAGAAATTGACGTTTTTATATAAGTGGCGAAATCATTTCTAGAAGGTTATAAACACTGTCTTCATCCATCCGGAGAAAATTAATCACGTCCTTGGATTACAGGCCATTTAGTACGTTTATGTGGCTTAATTTTTACCTCTTTTGGAGCCATTTTTTCACCCAGCAACTTCTCTTTTTCTATTTTCGAATAAATTAACCGAGATGGCTAACGCCAAACCAACACGGTGGTGTTTTAAGAGAGTCGGAGGTATTTTGAAGAACTCTACCGCATATGCATTCCGCTCCAAGTCCGAACGCGTACTGCTAGGCAGGCCCGTGTGTAAGGTCTACCCCGATAAAAGCCCCGATTTCTTTCCACCCTAGATCGCCACCGATATCGTGTCGTATGTAGCCCGCTTAAAATTTTCCGCTATCCTAAGTTTGGAGAATGTACAATCCATGTCACAGGAATCAAATTTTAGATATCATATTTCAGATCCATGAGATTGTATGTATATAATATACAATCTCATGGATTAACAATATAAATTCCATAATCTTACATAATAAGGCCCCAAGCAAATCTTCACTTTCGTTAAACAAAAATTATCATACATTTTTATCGAAATATAATTTTTTATCAATATTTTAAGTTTTTATGACTAGATAATAAACTTTTATTTTTATTACTAGTCTGAAAAGCTATTATTCTTAAATAGAAGTAATTGCAATATTGTAACATTAAAAATAAGTATTTATTCTGCTGAGGTCCTAGGATTATTTCGAGTTTCTATTATGTTTATACGTATGATGGCGCCGCGGCGTAAGATAATCCCCCCCCTCCCTTTTACTCCAGTAAGAGGAGACTATGGAAAATATCAGGAAAATTCATGGCTTTTAATACGAGTAGTTATATAATATATAACCATCCTATTTACGTTAGACGTAAAATATCCAGACTAGCGACGGGGAGTGGGGAAATGTAAGAGACGGTTGACACTGCTATCGCTGTACGACGCCTGAATATGTCTGCCACATAACAACGGGAGAGACCTAAGCCCAGCAGGGGAATCCTGAAGAAGATGTTGGCGTATAAAAGAAACGTATTTAAATACTAGATTTCATTCGCAACTTCGTCCGCGTAGAACTTAAAAACCTGCAGATCTTTTATATTTGGGCAAGTAGCATTCAAAACGAATTATTTTATAGTTTTTGTATTTCACAAAAATTATAACAGTTTTTTCAATAAAATATAGCCTCGAGCAGTACTGGCATTACTGTCGATTTGTTAGTAAGGTTTCATCACGATTAGTTGAGACATTTCGAAGATTATACCCGACCGACAGACTAAAACGTTAAAAAATAGTTATTCATATTTACATTATATCCCCCGAACTCACTGCCTCGTTGGTTTAGTGGTTGTAGTAGTGCGACTGCTGATTATGAGGTCCTAGGTTCGAATTCCGGGTCGGGCCAAAAAAATAATTATTGAGTTTTTCCGTCAGGAAATTCTTAGTAGTTGCACTGAGTCAGGAAGTTAGCGGTGTCCCACCCCCATGCCTCGGAAAGCACGTAAAGCCGTTGGTCCTGCGCCTGATCTCTCTCCGGTCGTGTCGGTTTACCGTCCCATCGGATTATGAGAGTGAGGGAATAGAGAGTGCACCTGTGCTTGCGCATGCACTTGGGCACTATAATTCTGTCCTGCGCGCATGGCTAGTCTCCGTAGAGGCAGGCCGCCATGGCCGAAATTCGGTTTGGAGGACATTATTATTATATGCCCCTGAGCTAAGTCCATAGCTAAGCTACTACTAGCTATTGCAATAATGTTGCAAAAGTAAAGTCTAAGTAAATGCAATATTTAGTAATATTCGACGTTGTACTCGTTCCGTAATAATATCATAACTAACATGCATCAGACAGTTAATATTTTCGAGTACAGCAGGCTGACAGGAGAAGCGTGCTGCAGGTTTATGCGCACTCCAAAGTTAATAACGGTATATTACCAACGTCGCAATATCAACTAAAGCTGAAGAGGTTCAGAATACGACCACAGTATGTGTGCCTAGTGGCAAAATTAATTAAAACGTTGTACTATACAGATAGAAGTGCTTTGTTTAGCCAGTAACGCAAAGTCAGGAATTTCTATTTAGAAAAAGCCAAATTCAGCTTTTTAGGTGCTAATTAGGTGCCAAATTTAAAAATTAGATACTCTAAAATTTTCACCGCAACTAACTGTTAGCTAGTAACACAGTGACGATAATAGATATATGATTAGTGTTTATAGCATATTTTTCTTTATCAGGTAAGTATATATTATAGATAAGATAGGTCGAATTTGTACTAAAACCGAATCAGAACGCCCCGACTCCACCTAATCTTGTCTGCCCTACCCCTAGACTGTTTTTGTAAAGCCGTAGGCGCGGCGGGATAGCAGCCTCCGCCCGCTGTAGCAAATCGCTGGCACCTGTGCGAGCCGTAGCGGCGTAAGCCGGAGCTGCGGAGGTGAGCATGGGTGCCTGTGATGTGCTACGCAAGGACGAAGGGTTGCAATTCCCGCAGCCCCGAAGCCATTGCAGAAATAACAGTGTCAGTATTCACGTGTAAATATGTGAGTTGTGTTTTTCAAAGCGCATAATTAGCACTTAATTATTAAAATTAATTCTATATCTGATTTTGATTCTATTCTGATTTTTAGAAGACCTGATTTTTGCATCTGCTTTTTCTGAAAAACGACTTTATTTTTGTTAGGGGCGCCTTGTTAATTTATTAATAATACTTAATATTTATCGTATATCTAATATCGTCACTGCATTGCTAGCGATACGTTTTGCCAGCAACGCAAATTTCAACAGTTCGTTGCGGTGAAAATTTTAGAGCACCTAAGTTTTGAACTCGGCACCTAATTAGCACCTAAAAGCTCCTAATTTTTCTCTTTGTAAATGCATATTGCTGACTTTGCGTTGCTTGCGAGACACAACTAGACAAAAGAGCTTATGAGCTCGCTGTAAATTTCACTGTAATTACGGGAGCAACCCGGGTTCGATCCCCGCCGGCACCAATGAAATTGTTAATTGCAACTTTAAAAGCTGAATTACCACCACGTGCTCGGCGGTGGAGGAAAACATCGTGATGAAACCTGCATGTCTGAGAAATAAGAAAAAAAATATTTCGAAGACGTCAAATTCGCCAACACGCATTGGCACAGTGCGGCGGAATTTCCTTGACCTAAAACCCTCTTGCACATGAGAGGAGGCCTGTGCCCAGCAGTGGGCTTTGAAAGCTGTAACTTTAACTTTACTTTTATTTTAACAGATATGAGAACAGTGAAAACAGGGCATATAATTCATATCATTATGGCAGATTGAAGATTTCAATGAATGAAGATTTACTCAGTGGATGGATACATGGATAAACATATTTTAATCAAAATATGGTAAAACTGTAGAACTGTGTATATTACTGTCAACGCTACCACAATACAGGTGATGTTATCGGTAACTAGGTCATAATTGTGAAAACGTAAACTTAGAAGAAACTGGATAAGTGATGGTCGAATTAATGAATGACTCCATTTACTTTTTTATTCACAATATGTTATCTAAGGGCTTTGTATTAAAAAGTGCCAGTCCCAACTTCGTAAGAGACTGTAGTTATACAGGTTTAAAAACCTGTACTGGAACGATCCCATATCGAGTTATTTGCGAGCGTTTCCTAGCGCGTGCAGTATAACTTTAACATCTACAGCGTAGTTGTTCATGCTTATGTATTGACGTTTTCTTACCGAGCATGTAAGGGATGACAGTTGAGCGGATCCAGCGGTGGAAGATGAGGTGGATGAGGCGTTCGGGCGGGCGGCGTGGGCGGGTCGGGCGGCGTTATGCTCTCCAAGGCGTCGCTAGGCGGCCGACACACTCGCAGTTCTACGCGCGTGGATGCAGTGCGTAACACCTCCAAAGCCTCCTAAGGACAAAATAAAAAACGTTGATTATATTTCTTCTTAACTGTCCGATGAAAACTCAGAGTATACTCGTCACTACATTTAGTAAAACTTAAAAAAAATGTTGATAAATCCATTTTGAATTGCGAAATAATGGTTGCTATCTGTTCCTGAGTTTCATCACAATCAGTTCACCCGTTCCGAAGATTAAACCGGCGGACAGACAGACAGGCAGACAGACAGACGGATATTTTTTTTAAAACTGTTTGTTCTTGTTAATAACATGCAAATAAGTTAAGCTTAATAAAGTTAGGTATTTAGATATAACATATAGACACGTCAATCTTACACATATTTAAAAATCAACTACTGTTGATTAGTCTCGCTAAATCTCGAAATTGGTGCGACAGAATTTGATGAAATTTATTGTGCGTGTTTGAATGGGTTCCTGGATGGTTTAGTTTTTAAGAGGATATAGTATCATCATCATCATCATCATCACAGCCCTTCACAAGTCCACTGCTGAACATAGGCCTCCCCCCAAGTAATGCCACAAAGCACGGTCCTGAGCCACCTGCATCCATCGACTTCCTGCATATCTTACCAGGTCGTCACTCCATCTAGTGGGGGGTCGCCCTACACTACGCCTACCGGTACGAGGCTGCCACTCGAGAACCTTTCTTCCCCATCGGTTATCGGTTCTTCGAGCTATATGGCCGGCCCATTGCCACTTCAGCTTACTAATCCGTTGGGCTATGTCGGTCACTCTGGTTTTACTGCGGATATCCTCATTTCTGAGTCTATCACGCAGAGAAACTCCGAGCATAGCCCTCTCCATAGCTCGCTGAGCGACCTTGAGCGTCCTCATACGGCCAGCAGTGAAGGACCACGTCTCTGATCCGTAAGTCATCACTGGCAACACGCACTGGTTGTACACTTTAGTTTTCAGAGATTGAGGTATACCTGACGAGAAGATATGTCGTAATTTCCCGAACGCTGCCCAGCCGAGTTGAATCCGTCGATTGACCTCTCGGTCGAAGTTGGACTTACCTAGTCGGAATATTTGTCCCAGGTAAACGTACTCGTCAACAACTTCGAGCATAGTGCTCCCAACAACTACCGGCATAGGTGTGACATGGACATTAAACATAATCTTTGTTTTGTCCATGTTCATCTTAAGACCTATCCGTTGGGAGGCACCATTGAGGTCATTGAGCATAGTGCTTAAGTCCTCCAGCGATTCTGCCATAAGGACTATATCGTCGGCAAATCGAAGGTGAGTGATGTACTCGCCATTGATGTTAATACCGTATCCTTTCCAGTCCAGTAGCTTGAAAACGTCTTCCAAAGCAGCGGTGAAGAGTTTCGGGGATATAACGTCACCCTGTCTTACACCTCTCTGCAGTTGGATAGGTTTCGAGCTATGGTTCTGTACTCGGATAGCCATCGTAGCCCTACTGTACAAACACTTCAGCACTTCGATATACCGACAGTCAACTTGGCACCGCTGAAGGGACTGCAGCACCGCCCAAATTTCGACGGAATCAAAGGCTTTCTCATAGTCCACATACGCCAGGCAAAGTGGCAAATTGTACTCTTCAGTCTTCTGTACAATCTGCCGCAGGGTATGTATGTGGTCTATGGTACTGAAGCCTTTTCGGAAACCGGCTTGTTCGGGAGGCTGGAAGTCGTCGAGTCTGCGTGCGAGACGATTCGTAATGACTCTCGAAAACAGCACGTAGACGCGGCTCAGAAGGGAAATCGGTTTGTAGTTCTTCAAGAGAGCGTTGTCGCCTTTCTTAAAGAACAAGACCACCGCACTTCTGCTCCACGCCTCTGGAGTAGTGCCACCATGGAGGACGGAATTGAAGAGCTTCTGAAGGACTTCAAGTACCGGTGTTCCACCCGCTTTCAGAAGCTCCGCTGTAATTCCATCCTCGCCTGGGGCCCTGCCGTTTTTAAGGTGCTGGAGAGCCATTCTAATCTCGCTTAGACTGACGTCCGGGATATCATCGGAATAGTGTCGGATAAGACTTGCTCTTGGATCGTTACTCACACTTGCGTGTGGCTCCAACGATGATGTGTACAGCTGCCCATAGAACCTCTCAATCTCACTCAAAATCTCAGGTGTCCCGGAAACGATGCTGCCACACTCAGTCTTCAGCCTTGACAGTTGGCTCTTTCTGGCAGACAGATCTCTGGCAAAGACTTTGGAGCCCTGGTTCCGCTCGATCGCTTCTTTAATACGAGCAGTATTAAAGTTGCGTAAGTCTCGCCGCATGCATTTGGAGATCTGTCTGTTCAGTTGCCTGTATGCTGTCAAATCTGTTGACGATTGCAGCCTCATCTCCCGTCTAACAGCCATGAGATTAAGAGTGTGATCGGAGAGTTTTTGTGTTCTTCTGCGGCGGGTCTTGCAGAACTTAGCTCCGACCGCATGGACAGTTTCCACGAGCTTGTCATTCATATCGTCCACTGCATTGCAATCTTGTAGGCACTGAAAGCGGTTGTGTAACTCGAGCTGAAAGTTTTCGGGATTTTGGATCAGAGCACGAGGGGGGACGGAGCGTTGACTTCATTAGACGAGACCTCTCCAACTTAACATTTAGGTTCAGTGTGCCTCTAACCATTCGGTGATCGCTGCCAGTTTTCACCCTTGCGATCACTGAGACATCACTGAACAGTTGGCGTCTGGTCGTCATAATGAAGTCAATCTCATTTTTTGTCGAACCGTCGGGGCTCGACCAGGTCCACTTCCTGTGGGGCCGCTTCTGGAAGAAAGAGTTCATCATAAAGAGTCCCTCTTTCTCCATAAAGTCGGCCAGCTGCTGGCCCCTTCGGTTCCGTTGCTCTACTCCAAATTTCCCTAACTTCAGCTCACCGCTTTCTCTTGTGCCTAGTTTTGCGTTGAAGTCTCCCATCAACACCGTGTAGTGGGTTTTGGAGGAATGTATGGCTTTGGAAATATCCTCATACATTTCCTCCACCTCCTCATCGGAATGTGCCGACGTTGGTGCGTAAACCTGTATGACCTTCAGCGAATACCGTTTGGTGATTCTGAGTATCAGGTACGCGACCCTCGTCGACACACTCTCAATCTGTACAACGTTGTTGACGAGAGACTTGTGGACGATAAATCCGACACCTCCTTGGGACAGATGGTCGCCCTCCCGGTGATAGAACAAGTTGCCGGATTCGAGAATCACCGTGTCCTCCCCCTCTCTTCGGACCTCGGATAATCCTATAATATTCCAGCGCAACTTGTCTATCTCTTCTTCCAGCTCCAGGATCTTCTCGTCAGTCCTCAGTGTGCGTGCGTTAAATGTTGCCAGGTCGAGTCGTCGTAGGTGGCAACCGAACCTCCACCGGAGATTCTTAGCACCCCCTGCCCCGCCGTTACCATGGTCGCCACCGTAGCCAGGAATAGCGGGGCCGCCGGGGACTGGGGGCCGTCTATTTGTGTAATTGTTCATGGGGGGTATATTGCCATAGTTGCCACGCTTGGCGAGCGGGTTGGCAACCGCAGTTTTTTTTGTCGTACAGTTGCTGTTATCAGGAAGATGCTGCTGCCCATCTCCTGCCTGTCTCCCTCTGTCGCCTCTTACGACACCCACGGGAAGATATGGGGTAGTGGATATTCTTAACCGCCACTACACGGCGAAAAAAAAAAGAGGATATAGTAACTCAGCTCAAATTCTAATTTCGCCCCCACTTCCCCCGCGCGTCGTATGCTATGTACCGACATGTTTGTTATCACTAATACTGTAAGTAGATAGGTCGTTAGATACTTATTTCATTAGGTTTATCATATTTGTGCATGTTTCTTTACGCCAACTCAGTCGCTTCTTATTTTTATTACGGTTGTTTCCCATTATAATTTTACGTCGTCCTGTTGCGTAATGTGAATTCTGATCGGAGATGACACAGGTTCCACGTTCAAAAGCCGAAGCGAGACTAACCGGGCGGCAGGAAACAAGCTTCAAGACTACTCTTTACAGTTAGTATGCAAAGTTTCATGATCTAATTTAAAGTATTTTATGAATAACAGCGGTTTATTGTTCAGTTTGGAGGTAACTTTGGATTTTTTTTCTATCGAGAAAATTGTACGGAATCGTGTTTTCATCAACATTATACTTAACATTAATCCTGAACTTTACCATATATTTATTTCAAAATTAATGATGCAATATTTTCAGCGTAACGGAGGATCTTGCTAAGCCATATTTTTAATATTTCTCCTCAATATTTTTTAATATTTATAATACTATAAATAAACTTGACCGGCGATGACAAGCTGCGTCAAATATAAGTCACATACGATTCTTTTTGTATTTCGATCGTGAATTAGTCAAGTGCAGCGAATGCAACAAATCCTTTCTATTGGAAGAGGTTCATTTCTTTTTTTATGGAATAAGGGTTACAAATGAGCGTACAGTCCACCTGATGGTAAGTGGATACTGTAACCCATAGACATCTACATCAATCCTCAATGAAGAATCGAAATCCAAATGCTTTTAAATAATACAATTTTTTACGGATTTTATCGCATATATTAACTTTTTTTTTATATACTCGACATTTCGAGCACTTAAAAGCACCCATGGTCACGGTTACCGCTGATAAAAATTATTAATTTTTGTTCCAATGTACACAAAAAAAAATTAAAATCCGTAAAAACTTGTATTAATTAAATGTGTAGTATTCGCGTGAATATAAGAAATCATTATGAAAATCTAGATGCTTTGTTCACGCACGAGGACTAAGATGAAATGGCAGATGGAGGACGAATAACTCGGTTCTCAGCACACACCGTATCAAAAGCTGCTATTTTACGCTGGTAATTTTGGATGGGTGATCGAGCCGACCTTATCTGCTGTCATAATTTAGATGCAGCGTGACTCCACTACGTTAAAACTTTAGTTAGTTAGTTACAGCCTATATACGTCCCACTGCTGGGCACAGGCCTCCGCTCATATCTGAGAGGGTTTTAGGGCAAGGAATTGTCCGCCGCGCTGCCCCAGTG